GTCAGTGCCTCTAGGACGAGGTGGAAAGCCGGTCAGCTCGCCAAGATGGCAAGCTAGGTTGCTTGGCCAACTCACCGTCTTTTCGGCTGGATAGTATTGCCCGATTCTGTGAGTAGCCTAAAGTTCTTCCGCGAACAACCTAGGGTTTTGTCGCGAATAACCTAGGGTTTTTCCGCGAGTGACCTAGGGCTTTCTCCGCAGGTAAAGCTAGGGTTTTGCCGCGGATAACCTACGGTTTTTCTGCGAGTTACCTAATGATTTTTTTGCGAACAGCCGCGAGTATCCTAGGGTTTATTTCGCGAGTAACTTACGGTTTGTTCCGCGAAAAACCTAGGGTGCTTTGCGTGAGTAACCTAGGGTTTTTCCGCGAACAACCTAGGGTTTTGTCGCGAATAACTTAGGGTTTTTCCGCGAACAAACTAGGGTTTTGCCGTGAATAACCTAGAGTATTTCCGCGAACAAACTAGGGGTTTGCCGTGAATAACCTAGAGTTTTTCCGCGAACAAACTAGGGTTTTGCCGTGAATAACCTAGAGTTTTTTCGCAAGTAACCTAGGGTTTATTTCGCGAGTAACCTACGGTTTGTTCCGCGGTTTCTGGGAAGACAAGTTTTATTTTTCCGAAAATTTCTCGGAAAACGTCTTTTGCTCAACCCATGAGATATGTCAAACTCGGAAATAAGAAAAAACACTATGGGGTTTGATAGATTTTATCGTTGCCCTTAGTGATCTGAGATAGAAATTGTGAGCTTGTTTTGTTGCTCTTCCCGTGGCGAAGAGTCGCGATTAGGTTTTCGATTTTGTTGAGTACTCCAGCGTTTGCGCAAGCGTTGGCTGTAGGAGCAGTCGCTGCTGGAGTTGTTTTACCAGCCTCTTTTCGCGAGTTGCGACTTTGTCTTTCATACATCCAGACATCGTTTGGATCAAGCGTTTTGCGGCTATGAGTAAGAGTAATCCGACCCCCCCTCCTTCTAGCGCCAAACTGTGGGAACCGAAATTCACACTTGTCGATTTCCGTTAAATAAGGAAACTTAGGAAAACCCTAATTTTCCAGAGGAACCGGATCTCTGCGAAAGCCAACGACAAGTAACCAAATAAATGCGGAAAATATGAAAAACATAATAAAATGAACTTATAAAGAAAGTCGATCTTATTTCCGATTCGCGTAAGAGCGTTGCGATCATTACAAGGAATTACAAAGGCTTTGGCCGCAGGGGCCATCAGCGAGTTATAAACATAAAACCCTAGATCTAGTCGAGTCGCTGCTTGATAACAAAAAACGGAAAAAGATAGGAAAAAAGGTTTGAATGATTTCGGACTGAACCTTATGAAAGGCTGCCTACGTACCCCTTTCGGGGATCAAGTCGAACGTAGTTCAGTTGATAGAGCTGGACAAGAGATCGAACTGCCTGGGCGAGTTCGTCTAGTAATTGAGCGCCAGTCATAGAAACCGAACTTGTCGAGAAANCCTACGTACCCCTTTCGGGGATCAAGTCGAACGTAGTTCAGTTGATAGAGCTGGACAAGAGATCGAACTGCCTGGGCGAGTTCGTCTAGTAATTGAGCGCCAGTCATAGAAACCGAACTTGTCGAGAAAAAGCCTAAGTTTCTAAGTGCGGAAAATTCTAAGTGTAGAAAAGTTGTAAAAGTCTCAGATGAGAGCTCTAAAATTCGTCCCCCAGCTTCTGCCCTATGCCTCCTCCTTATATACTCCTCCTTAGGCGGTTTTAGTCTTTCCATTTTGCTCGAAACCGAATATTTCGGGAACTTTCCATATTTGTCGATCCTTCCTTTTCTTCTGTGAAAATCTTCTATTTATCTTCAAACTTGCCTTTTATCTTCCGTCTGCGAGTAAACCATCAAAGCGTTATCGTATCTTGGGGTTTGATTTCGTTAACGTCGCGGGATGGGTTTTTATCGTGTTTTAGGACCTTTCGGGCCGTTTTACGATAAAAACCGTTTTACGACTTTAACGAGACCGTTTCCTGATCCGATGCCGTTTTTTTACGATTCTCTCGACGTTTTTTTATTTAAAACGAGTTTTTTATGATTTTAACGAGAAATCTCGAATAAATCGTATAGATTAGGCAATGTTCGGTGTTTCGTTTAACCGTTGCCGTTTTATACGATTTCCTCGAGTTCTTTCTGAGAAAGCGAAGTTTTACGGTTTTTATCGTAAAACTTGAATGATAGGTTGGATCGAGACGGAACGGGAGACGTTTCGGCCGTGGTTCAGAATGCGACCGTGTCGAAAGACGTAAGTTTTGAATCGAGGATGCGGGATATCGAGGCTTGGGATGGTCGGCTCGACGTACGGCGAGCTAGTTCAGCTTGGCTAGGTCGCCATATGGCGAACTAGGCGAAAAGACCAGTGGGGCAAAGTCAGTACCTCTTAGTTCGCCCATTGGCGATCTAGCCGGGACAGGACTAGTTCGCCAATGGGTGAACTAGTTGAGTGTTTCTTAGTTCGCCCATCGGCGAACTAAGCCGGGCCCGGCTTAGTTCGCCGATGGGCGAACTAGTGGAGTGTCCTTAGTTCGCCCATCGGCGAACTAAGCCGGGACCGGCTTAGTTCGCCGATGGGCTAACTAGTGGAGTGTCCCTAGTTCGCCCATCTGCGAACTAAGCCGGGCTGGCATAGTTCGCCCATGGGCGAACTAGTCGTGACGTGTTCGCGTTTTACGGCTGTTTCGGTTTTTTTGCGGTTTCGTAAGACGATTCTTCGAGTTTTATAAAATGTTTCTTCGAGTTTTATAAAATGATTCTCGAGTTTTATAAAACGATTTTCGAGTTTTATAAAACGATTCTCGAGTTTTATAAAACGATTCTCGAGTTTTATAAAACGATTCTCGAGTTTTATAAAACGATTCTCGAGTTTTATAAAACGATTCTCGAGTTTTATAAAACGATTCTCGAGTTTTATAAAACGATTCTCGAGTTTTATAAAACGATTCTCGAGTTTTATAAAACGATTCTCGAGTTTTATAAAACGATTCTCGAGTTTTATAAAACGATTCTCGAGTTTTATAAAACGATTCTCGAGTTTTATAAAACGATTCTCGAGTTTTATAAAACGATTCTCGCGTTTTATAAAACGATTCTCGAGTTTTATAAAATGATTCTTCGAGTTTTATAAAACGATTCTCGAGTTTTATAAAACGATTCTCGAGTTTTATAAAACGATTCTCGAGTTTTATAAAACGATTCTCGAGTTTCATAAAACGATTCTCGAGTTTTATAAAACGATTCTTCGAGTTTTAAAAAAATGATTCTCGAGTTTTATAAAACGATTCTCGAGTTTTATAAAACGATTCTCGAGTTTTATAAAACGATTCTCGAGTTTTATAAAACGATTCTCGAGTTTTATAAAACGATTCTCGAGTTTTATAAAACGATTCTCGAGTTTCATAAAACGATTCTCGAGTTTTATAAAACGATTCTTCGAGTCTTATAAAATGATTCTCGAGGTTTATAAAACGATTCTCGAGTTTTATAAAACGATCTCTGAGTTTTATAAAACGATTCTCGAGTTTTATAAAACGATCTTTGGAGTTTTATAAAACGTATTTTTATTTTTACTTTTGCGGAGACTTTTAGCCATTGATTCCGTCGTGACCGATTTTGACACCAACAAACTCACCCATAGGACAAACTACCACCAATTGACCTGGAGACCCATTGGTGACAGCTTGTTCAGTGGAAGGGTTGTTAAAGGGTGAGGTCTTGGGTTCGAGTAGCGCCAAGCGCATCAATAACCTACATGGGGGAGTCAGTGTGGGCTCACATGGGAGAGGTTAGGGTCGATTCGCTGTAGCACTGTGAGCTTCCAATGGACAGGTTGTCACAATAAAAGTCGAGCCTTATGAATAATTTTCCAAGACCCGAGCCTTATGAAGATATTTTCAAAGAACCTGGATGTGACAACCTGTCCACTGGAAGCTCACAGCGCTGCAGCGCATCGATCCTAACCTCTCCCAGGTGAGCCTTCACTGACTCCCCCATGTAGGTTATTGATGCACTTGGCACTATTCAAACCCAAGACCTCAACTTTTAACAACCCTTCCACTGAACAAGCTATCACCAATTGAACCGAGGTCAGCAGCTTGTCTTGTGGGAGTGTTCTTAAAGGGTGAGAACCTGCGTTCGTGTTTCACCAACAACCTAATCATGGGTTAGTGAGAACTCATAATGGAGGGGTTAGGGTCGGTGCCCTGTAAGGCCAGCCTGGCGGCCATGGGGCGGATAGTTCTCACGGGGTAATGTGGCATGAAAGATATGTATTCATGACCCTTCCTGGTTCTCACTATCGGTGGAGCTTCATAGCTAAGAAGAATTGATATCCTTGAAAGACGACGGGATCCGCTTATTCAATTTTTCTTCCATTGTTATTTCGGTAGGTGGAACTTACCCAGCCCGTGCGGGCGGGGAGAGCAATGTTCTCAGGGCCAGAGCCCTTCCTCTTGCACGGTGTCAGGTGGCCTATCTCGTTAGTCCTGCCGTATTGGGTCGTAGCAGGCTTCGGAGTGAGTCCTACTCTTTGATGTTGGTCATACTTCTCTTCTTTTTGCCTAGTTAACTGGTTTTGCTGTAAACAGGTGGCCCCGTAGAGGAGGACCCGATGGAAGCCTTTTATAGGGTGAACGAGGCGATTTCAGAGAGGAAGGGTACTGTTGTCCCGACCGTCTCAGGGGACGAGCTTATGATAACTGGAAGTAGTCGCAAGACGGTGATTAAGAGCGAGTCTGTTTCTTCTTCTCAAGGGAGAAGACCGAGGGGCAGGGAGGCCGCTCGGCTGTCTCCACGGGATTTTGATACTGAGCACTTGCTGGAAATGTATCTAATGTTCTCGGGGACCTGAACGCTAGGGTGTTCTCTCAAGAGAATGTCCCTTTTTGGGAGAAGATCCGGTAGAGATGATCCTGGCGCTTTAAGAGAGACTCCTTCAGGTAAGAGTGAGGTTTTCGCTCCTATTCTAGCCTTGCTATCGTGAGTGTTATTGGGTGATCTTTTACACAGGTCCTCTCCTCATTGCATCATTTGGGAGCTCGGTTGCCGGAAGAGGATGTGGCCTCAGTCAAGGAAGAAGCCAAGGAGTTGTCGCGGCAGCTATCTGAAGAGAAAAGTAAGAGGGCGGCCCAAGGGATGGAGCTGCGCGATCTTCAGGCCAAGGTCAAGGCGATTGAGGGCACGGTGGAAACTTTCTCGTCAGAGGCTTTAGCGCTGAGTCGTAAGAACAAGGAATTGGAAGAGGCTTTGGAGAAGCTAAGAGCTGAGGCGAAGATCTCGGAGAACGTGCAAGTGATGGCTGTGAATGGGGTGAAGATCACATCTCGATGGGAGGTAATTCAAGATTGGCTCGGCGGACGGGCCCACAGCTGGGATTTGGCCAGGGAGTTCGATCTGTACAAGGTCGTGGTTCTTGCCGAGGCAAAGTTCAAAGGCGTTGATCCTCCCTCTTTTGTAGATAAGCCAGTCATCCCTCCGTCTTCTGGCTCTGGCGGATCATGAGTTTTTGTTTTTAATGCACTTTTCTTTGTTTCATTGTTTGAATTCCGTTGACTCCTGAACTGTGTTGCTCTTGTGCACTTTGCCTTTTAGCAATAAAGTTTCTTTTCTTTTTTATGCATATGTTCGCCTGAGGGTCAGAACCTAGCTGATACGGCTTAGCGTAATAGGAATGAAACGTAAAACTCATAGTTTTCAACGCTTAGGACCCGAGGGTCCCGGAGGATTCTTAGAACCCTGCTCAGATCCTGAGATATTTGATTGGGCCTTGCGTTCTCTTACTCAAACAGGGAGATATGAGAGTACTTAGAGCGTGTAAGCTAGACTGGTAGGTTTGCTGCCTGGGCCTAGAGATTCTGATTGAGCCTGGAGGCTCAGTGCTTGGCCTAAAGGTTTTTCTTAGGCCCTGAGGTCTCTAGCTGGGCCCAAGGGCCGGAAGTGTAAAATTTTTGAACACTGGGAACTCGAAAGTTCATGATTTAACCCTGAGGTTAGTTCTTGGAATTTTCAAATCCTAGTAGATTGGTTGGGACCCTAGGGTCTTTCCTGTATTACAAGGACACTTATTCAGAACCCTCAGGTTTTCTTAGTAGATCTGAGGTGCTTGACCTGGACCCGGAGATGAGTAGATAGGGGATGTAAAATTCGGGATTTTGAACATCTTGGACCCTGAGGTCATTTTCATTGAGATCGTATCCTGCCCCCCTTGTGTAGGCCACTACGGATCTCATGAAAAAATGTAAAATTTGGAATTTTGAACATTTGGGGCACGGAGGCTCGTTATCATCGAGGTCGTATTCTGCCCCCTTTAGGTAGGCCACTACCGATCTCGGGTAAGGATTCGCATTCTGCCACTCGGAAGTAGGCCACTATCGAGATACTGTAATGCTGCACTCTGATTTCTGCAGAAAGCCACTCTCAGTCTTATATGTTTGTGATGGGGTCTACTGGGAAGTAGTGAGCCACGTACCAGACTTGCTACTTTGCCATCTGGATAAGTAAGATAGAAGTGCTCCTGGGGTTTTGTGCACCGTCTGCTCCTTGAAACCATGGGGCCGATCTCAATACTCTGCAGTTATACGTCATGCCCCCTGAATCTCGTTTAGCTCGGGGTGTGTTTGATGCAGGGATTGATGCACTAGTACATGTGGCACCTTGTAGGTTTACGGCTTGAGGCCTCTATGCAGGGGCTGAGGTAATTTTGACATTGTATTAAGGTTGATCAGGCTTGTTCCAATTCGCATACCCAAGTGTTTCATATGTGAATCATATCACGCAGATGCAAGGTTTGCCAGGATCGAGGTGCCCCTTGGGGCCTGATCCAGCATGGTGGTTTTATATGTGAGTCGTGTCACGCAGATGTAGGGTTTGCCAGGATCGAGGTACCCCTTGGGGTCTGATTCAGCATGGTGGTTTTATATGTGATCCATGTCACGTAGATGTAGGGTTTGGCAGAATCGAGGTGCTCCTTGTGGCCTGATCCAGCTAGTATGCCCTTTTAAGTTCAGTGGAATTCCCGTGACTCCTTTAGTCAAAAATAAAATATGTTATATAAGCTTAGTCCGTAGATGTTTTTAGCATACATAGGAGTAGGAAACCAGTGTACTTAAAATATATAGATAGCTAGGTATTTGTAGAAAACCCGATCCGGAATCTTGTAGAAGTGGTAGAGCTTGAGGTGCAGGGAGTTCCAGCAGTTAGGTTGTGCCTTTCCTTTGCTGTCCTGCAGCTTGTAGGCTCCTGCTCCCTGCACTCCAATTATTTTGTAGGGGCCTTCCCATCCTGGGGCTAGCTTCCCTGCAGATTTGTCTATAGTATGGTCGCAGACTTGTCGTAGGACCCAGTCTCCTTGTTGGATTGTTCTGGACCTAACTTTCTTGTTGTAGCTCCTGGCCACTTTCTGTTGATAGGAAATGTTCATCAGGCGAGCAGCCTCTTTCTTTTCGTCGAGTAGATCCAAGATTAGGGTCAACAATTCATTGTTTTCCTCCTGGGAGATGAGTCCGGAGACAGTCGTTCTGACGTGTACCTCTGTGGGTATCACGGATTCCATACCGTAGACTAATGAAAATGTAGTCTTTTGTGTGGCTGTTTTTGGAGTGGTCCGATAAGTGTGGGAACCGAGATTCACACTTGTCGATTTCCGTAAAATAAGGAAAGTTAGGAAAACCCTAATTTTCCAGAGGAACCGGATCTCTGCGAAAGCCAACGACAAGTAACCAAGAACGCGATTAATATGAATAAACTGAAAGATATAAAAAGAAAATGAGATTGAGAGCAAGAAGGATTCTTATTCCGAATTCGCGTAAGAACAGTTACAACGAGAGTTGCCTTAGCTGCGTGAGGCGTCGGCGAAATTCCTAGTCCTAGCAATCTAAGACTAAAACTCTAGTTGAGACGCAGCTCGATAACGAAAACGGAAAATTGCCTAAATGCTAAGTTTGGTGGTGAGAGCTCTGAAAACTCGTCCCCCAGCTTCTGCCTATGCCTCCTCCTTATATACTCCTCCTTAAGCGGTTTTAGTCTTTCCGTTTTGCTCGAAACCGAATATTTCGGGAACTTTCCATATCTGTCGATCCTTCCTTTTCTTCTGCGGAAATCTTCTATTTATCTTCAAACTTGCCTTTTATCTTCCGTCTGCGAGTAGACCGTCAAAGCGTTATCGTATCTTTGGGTTTGATTTCGTTAACGTCGCGAGATGGATTTTTATCGTGTTTTAGGAACTTCGGGCCGTTTTACGATAAAAACCGTTTTACAACTTTATCGAGACCGTTTCCTGATCCGATGCCGTTTTTTACGATTCTCTCGACGTTTTTTTTATTAAAAACGCGTTTTTTATAATGTTAACAAAGAATCTCAGATAAATCGTTTAGTTTAGGCAATGTTCGGTATTTTGATTAACCGTTACCGTTTTATACGATTTTTTCGAGTTCTTTTCGGGAAAACGGAGTTTTACGGTTTTTATCGTAAAACTCGAACGATAGGACGGATCAAGATAAAACGGGATACATTTCGACCGTGATTCGGAATACGATCGTGTCAAAGGACGTATGCCTTGAATCAAGGATGTGGGAGATCGAGGCTCGGGATGGTCGGCTCGACGTACGGCGAGCTAGTTCAGCTTGGCTAGGTCGCCATATGGCGAACTAGGCGAAAAGAACCAGTGGGGAAAGTCAGCACCTCTTAGTTCGCCCAATGGCGATCTAGCCGGGACGGGACTAGTTCGCCCACCAGTGAACTAAGCCGAGCTGGCTTAGTTCGCCCGTGGGCGAACTAGTCGGGACGGGACTAGTTCGCCCACCGGCGAACTAAACCTGGCCAGCTTAGTTTGCCGGTGGGCGAACTAGTCAAGTGGGACTAGTTCGCCCACCGGCGAACTAGTCGAGATGGACTAGTTCGCCGGTGGGCGAACTAGTCATGGGCCTCCTAGTTCGCCCATCGGCGAACTAAGCCAGCTTGGCTTAGTTCGTCGGTGGGCGAACTAGTTGCGACTAGTTCGCGTTTTACGGCTGTTTCAGTTTTTCGCGGTTTTGTAAAACGATCTTCGAGTTTTATAAAACGATCTTCGAGTTTTATAAAACGGCTTCTCGAGTTTTATAAAACGATCTTCGAGTTTTATAAAACGGCTTCTCGAGTTTTATAAAAAGATCTTCGAGTTTTATAAAACGATCTTCGAGTTTTATAAAACGGCTTCTCGAGTTTTATAAAACAGCTTCTCGAGTTTTATTAAACGGCTTCTCGAGTTTTATAAAACGATCCTCGAGTTTTATAAAACGATCTTCGAGTTTTATAAAACGGCTTCTCGAGTTTTATAAAATGATCCTCGAGTTTTATTAAACAATCTTCGAGTTTTATAAAACGGCTTCTTGAGTTTTACAAAACGATCTTCGAGTTTTATAAAACAGCTTCTCGAGTTTTATAAAATGATCCTCGAGTTTTATAAAACCATTCCCGAGTTTTATAAAACAATCCTCGAGTTTTATAAAACGATTCTCGAGTTTTATAACACGATCCTCGGGTTTTATAAAACGATTTTCGAGTTTTATAAAACGGTCCTCGAGTTTAATAAAACGATCCTCGAGTTTTATAAAATGATTCTTCGGGTTTTAAAAAACGATTCCTTTTTTATTTCTGCGGGGAGTTTCGGCCGTTGATTCCGTCGTACCGATTTTGACCCCAACAATAAGCCCAGAGGACTACATGTAACTCTTCTGCCCAGCGCCCGTGGGCTTTCTCCAGGCGTTTCTTGATAACGTTGACCACGGTTTTGTTTGTAGTATCGGCCTGGCTGTTTTACCGTGGGTGCTGCGGTGCGGAGAAGGAGAGCTTGATTTTCCACTCTTGGCAGAATTCTCTGAAGTCGTGGCTCGCGAACTGGGGCCCGTTGTCTGTGACAATCTCTCGGGGCGTGCCGAAGCGGGTTATCACGTTTGTCCATATGAACTTTATTTTCTCTGTAGTAATCGTGGCTAGGGCCTCGACTTTGACCCATTTTGTAAAGTAGTCGGTTATCACGAGGAGGAATACCTTTTGTTCTGGTGCCATTGGGATTTTCCCGACGATGTCCATGCCCCATTTTTGGAAAGGGCCAGTGAGAGCTTAGAGACTTTAGGTTCTCCGGGGGGAGGTTGGAGTGAGAGCCGGCTCTTCTGGCTCTGAGCACTAAACTTTTTCCGCTGGAGTGAGAGCCGCATTCTCCTTCGTGTAGCTCTTCTAAGATCATGGCCGCTTCCCTAGGGGTGAGACATCGCGTGTATGGTCCTAAGAAGGACCTTTGGTACAATTTCCCTTCAGTGATGCAGTATCTTGCTGCTTGTCTCTTTATCTTTCGGCTTTCACTTCGGTCCTCAGGGAGGAAGTCGCGTACAAGGTAGTCGATTATGGGGGTCATCCATGTTTCCTTCGTTGATGACTGAGATTTCTTCGGGATCACCTTCTCTTTCTGTTCCCGGCCACTGGAGTACCAGCAGGGGAATGCTCATCTAGCTAGTGGTTTCTAGGGC